TCCTGTATTTGATCACGTTATTCTAACTTGCTGTCCCAAATATTTATTCAACACTTTTGGGGGGTATATCAGAGCTCGAGTTGAAGCTGCTTCATCGAGCCCCTCTCCAGCGGACAGCAAGCCAAATAAGTTTAACCTAATATCTTAAAGATTTTATGGGCAAACGAACTCGTTAAACATATTTAATAGTTCTCACTACAGAAACATGGAATTTGTGCCTATAATGTTTTTTTTTAAATAACTGGAAGATCAGTGTACCTCATTCATGGAAAGTTTCAGGAACTTTTGTTACATCTGGGATATTTTAATCTCCATTCACTCCATATTTCTCTCTTTTAACTATTTAGATTATTTAGAAACTTTTAAAAAGAGAGTTTTTCTTTCATTTCAGACCCGATGGAGGAGAGCGAGGAGAGAGAAGAACTGAGTGAAGTGAAGGAGGAGAGAGAAGAACTGAGTGAAGTGAAGGAGGAGAGAGAAGAGCTGAGTGAAGTGAAGGAGGAGAGAGAAGAGCTGAGTGAAGTGAAGGAGGAGAGAGAAGAACTGAGTGAAGTGAAGGAGGAGAGTGAAGAACTGAGTGAAGTGAAGGAGGAGAGAGAAGAACTGAGTGAAGTGGAGGAGGAGAGAGAAGAACTGAGTGAAGTGAAGGAGGAGAGAGAAGAACTGAGTGAAGTGGAGGAGGAGAGAGAAGAACTGAGTGAAGTGGAGGAGGAGAGAGAAGAACTGAGTGAAGTGAAGGAGGAGAGTGAAGAACTGAGTGAAGTGAAGGAGGAGAGAGAAGAACTGAGTGAAGTGGAGGAGGAGAGAGAAGAACTGAGTGAAGTGAAGGAGGAGAGAGAAGAACTGAGTGAAGTGGAGGAGGAGAGAGAAGAACTGAGTGAAGTGAAGGAGGAGAGTGAAGAACTGAGTGAAGTGAAGGAGGAGAGAGAAGAACTGAGTGAAGTGGAGGAGGAGAGAGAAGAACTGAGTGAAGTGAAGGAGGAGAGAGAAGAACTGAGTGAAGTGGAGGAGGAGAGTGAAGAACTGAGTGAAGTGAAGGAGGAGAGAGAAGAACTGAGTGAAGTGGAGGAGGAGAGAGACGAACTGAGTGAAGTGAAGGAGGAGAGAGAAGAACTGAGTGAAGTGGAGGAGGAACATCATGTCCAACCTGGAGGAAAACCTTTGAGTCGCTCAAGGACTAAACAGACATTTTTAAAGAAAAGAAGAGCCAAGAAATCTTTCACCTGCACTCAGTGTGGGAAGAGTCTCACAAGCAAACGTAATCTTGAGAATCACATGAGAGTCCACACCGGAGAGAAGCCGTTCACATGTGATCAGTGCGGGAAAACATTTCTCTGTGCATCATACCTGAAGAAACACCTGACAGTTCACATGAAGGAGAAGCCACATTCATGTTCTGTGTGTGGAAAGAGTTTTTCACTGCTGCAATCTTTACATGGACATGAGAAAACTCACACTGGTGTGAGAGAGTACATGTGCTTTGAGTGTGAGAAGACTTTTATTTCAGCAAACAGTTTAAAACTGCACCAGAGAATTCACACTGGAGAAAAACCTTACAAGTGTTCACACTGTGACAAGAGATTCAGTCGATCAGGACATCTGAAAATACATGAGATGATCCACACTGGAGAAAAAACATACATGTGTTCACACTGTGACAAGAGATTCAGTCGATCAGCAAATCTGAAAACACATGAGAGGATCCACACTGGAGAAAAACCTTACAAGTGTTCACACTGTGACAAGAGATTCAGTCTGTCATCATCTCTGAAAAAACATGAGAGGATCCACAACAGAGAAAAACCGTACAAGTGTTCACACTGTGACAAGAGATTCAATCAGTCATCATCTCTGAAAACACATGAGAGGATCCACACTGGAGAAAAACCTTACAAGTGTTCACACTGTGACAAGAGGTTCAGTCGATCATCATATCTGAGATCACATGAGAGGATCCACATTAGGGGTGGGGAAAAAAATCGATTCTTAGATGCATCGCGATGCGGACGTGGACGATTCTGAATCGATTCACAAATGTCAAAAAATCGATTTTCCACAATTTTTTTTTTTATATATATATATTTATAATAACGTAATATTGACGGAACGCGAAAGACGGAACTCTGAAACGCGGAACGGAAGTGCAATGGCCGGACCGTCTGTGGCGTGCACAATACAGAGACGCGATGGCTGAGCGCGCTAAATCCAAACACCCTCCTTGTTAGGTTAAAGCTGACATGTGGAAATATTTTGGCTTCTGAAGTTGAAGGGGGAAAGCAGCTGGACAAGAGCCACCATAGTTGTATAAGCTTTGTAGAATAAAACTAACGACGGAAACACGACAAATATTAGAAGCCACATGACACGTTTCCAGCCAGAGGAGGAAAAACACTCGGCTGTACCAGTCGTTATAATATTAATTTACTACAAGTATGCTCCTAGTTCAGGCACACATTTATTTTCCTGTTGGTTCTTTGCAATGTTAATAAAATATATTGTACATTAATTATTTATGGGTCATTACTTTGTACTTTTAAAGCAAAGTATTTATAGTCACACACACACACAAAAGATTCAGATAATCGATTTGTAACATTTAATTTATCCTTGATGAATAAAAGTAATGATTTATTTTTTCTTTCGCCCAAAAAAAAAAAAAAAAATTCTTACCGACTCCAAACTTTTGAACGGTATTGTTTAATGTTACAAAAGCTTTCTATTTCAGATAAATGCTGTTCTTTTGAATTTCTGGGTGATTCTCTGAATTGGGTGCCCTTCAAGTCCCCCAAACTTGCTTCAAAGATTTTCAATTGAAGGAAATCACAAAATGCCTTTTAATGCTGTCAATTAATAGAACCAGGTGCCTTTGCATTATAATGCAACACAATTGCTTTAAAAAAAATAATTTAAAGATAATGGGTTGCCTAAGAAGTAGACAAGCATGTTTGCATGTCCTCACTAACCATCATTACATTTTCATTGAATATCAAACAAATAAAAAGTGCAATTAATACCAAAATGTTGCTGCTAATATAATCATATGTTGGTCTAGTGTATTTTCGTTTACTGTTGTGAAATGAAAAATCAATAATCGCTAATCGAGAATCGTTAATAATCGAAAATCGTCTGTAATCGAATCGGGACTTCAATAATCGGAATCGAATCGGGAAATCAGACAGATTAACCACCCCTAATCCACATGTGAGCAACAATGCTTAAATTACACTTTTAACCCTTCTGAGTCTTGGGCTATTTTGGCCATTTTTGAGTACATTTTTAAAATTATTATTTTGCGACATAAACAAATGTTTACCATACCAATGATTGGTATAATTTTTCAGCACAACATCACCTGTATGACCAGACAATTAGTTTTTCACTTTGATGTACTGTATCAACATACTGGACCCAAAATCACACAAAAAAAAAACACAAAATCCGAATAGAAAAATTATAGCTTTTTTACTACAAAAAAACAAAAACATGCTCAATGAAGCATTTTAAATGTTTTAAAATGTAAACACAAGTTGTAAATGTCAACATATACAGGTACAATTCAGATATAATCAAGCTGTATGCAAAAAGAGTGATTATGATTTATGATTTACAAAAAAAGTGGGTGTAGCCATAGGCTTTATGTCACAGGTCGGGGGGGGCCAAGCCAGACTGCACCCACCCCTCAAACCCAGGACCACCTTGAGGAGCGTACCAGAGACCAGACAGACAAGTGGAATTAAAATGAACAATCTTTATTGACTAAAAAGGGGAATTAAAAAGTCTTGACGTGGGTTTTGTGTCTCTTCCCAGGAAGGGGAACCCGCTTTTGGACCCTGGGAAGCGAGGGGTTCACCCCACCAATCCGTACCACCGGCAACCATCGAGGAGGAGGGATTCGACCGTCGTTCCAGCAAGCAGGTAAGTATCTTGGTAAGTAAACCTTTTTGGGCGTGATACAGGCGGACAGATGTCCGGACAGGCCTGGACCAGGACTGAAGACTAGGAGGGGACTCTTCCACCGGACAGGTGAGTGGCAGGTACGTATACCTCTCCAAAAGACAAGCAGGGCGGAGGAGCCTCACTGGAGGACAGGTGGGTAGGTGGGTACGTATATCTTCTCAGGGCAGGGCGCACTCCCGTGTCGTCGCTGGAAAGAAGGTGCGGGGTCCTTCATGTCTCTTTCTCCTTCGGCGGGGTTCAGTCGTTAGCAGAGGTATCCTCGATTCCAAAGACAGAGACAGTTTTTACAAGCTCACTTCCCTTTACAATGGGGCAAGGACTTACGGCTGGAGCGGATGGCTGTACTGACACGATGTGGCCAGGGCGGGCCTCTGCTTCAGACAGGCATCACACAAGAAGGCAGTAACAGAGGAATCATCTATTTAAACAGACAGAGCAAATTATACAGGTACAGGCACACGCCTCTGTAAGATGGAGAATCGGGCTTACGGCTAGACTGTGTGGCTCCAACCAGACAGCGCTGAGGCCAAGGTTTGTCCCTCCTTCAGACAGGCATCACACAAGAAGACAGTAGCAGAAGATCATCTATTTAAACAGGCAGAGCAATTTATACAGGTGCAGGCACACGCCTCTGTAAGATGGAGAATCGGGCTTACGGCTAGACTGCGTGGCTCCAAGCAGACAGCGCTGTGGCCAGGGTGTGTCCCTCCTTCAGACAGGCATCACACAAGAAGACAGTAGCAGAAGATCATCTATTTAAACAGGCAGAGCAATTTATACAGGTGCAGGCACACGCCTCTGTAAGCTGGAGAATCGGGCTTACGGCTAGACTGTGTGGCTCCAAGCAGACAGCACTGAGGCCAGGGTGTGTCCCTCCTTCAGACAGGCATCACACAAGACGACAGTAGCAGAAGAATCATCTATTTAAACAGGCAGAGCAATTTATACAGGTGCATGCACATTCAACACTGAGGCTTTGTTCAGCAAACACTAGGCAAGAATATGAACTGAAGAGTACTGGCAGTTAAATATACATATACATCCACACACTGCAACTTCACGTCAAATCCAATACTGTGTGACACTTCAATTCGGGCGCTGCATATCCACTCTCACTCTCAGTGCAATAAGGCCAGCACTCAGCCAATGATCAATCCTTCCACTGTTACGCTGAATCAGCACTCAGGAGATGAAGGGATGCAGATGACTTCTCACAGCATGGAAAACAGCGTCTTCAATACTCTCTCACACTCAGACAAAGATATCAGGATTTCAATGATGACTCAGTTCACACTCTTAAGTGACAGTTACACTCGTAATCAATACACTTCACAATTCCTTATTCAACTCAGTGCAAGGCATGCATTCACATGCATTCATGTTTCATTACTTAGCTTCCTCTCAGGAATGATGGCGCTCTCCAGTCTTGATGCATCTCCACAATTCTCCCACTTCCCATCCAGTTCACGTTTCCAGCTTGTTTTCACACAAATCACCGTTGCACCCGTAATCCAGCCAAATCCTCACAGCCCTCTCCAAAGATCCCAGCGAATTCAAGCTACTGCCAAAGAAACCATTTCTCCCGGGGGAGTACCACACTCAATTTCCTCTTCCTTTTCCTTTTAACTGCTTCATTCGGCCCCGTAGCCCTATCGCCGATCCTCACACCAATCGCCCGCACCTGATACCGTTTGCCTCATCAGCCGCCGCTGTCATGGAAACCAACAACAAGCGGAACCGGCTCGGTGTTTCACTGATATTGTTCCGGGGGGAACACATTTCCAGCGGGCAGGTGTTCCGCTTCTTTCGTCACTTGTGACATACCCCCCTGCCAAACGGGCTCGGCAACCCAGTCTCCATACCGCACTGGGGGCTGCCCTCGGTTATCCCGCTGGGACCGTCTCGGCGGTGAGGCAGGATCTACCTGGCGCGGCTCTGCGCCCAGTCCCCTTGGGACAACCGCCCAACCTAGCAGCAAGGGCATCGGTGGCGTTTCGACCGGGGGATTGCTGTCTGTTGGTTTTGGATAATTTGGACACGGACGGATCAAGTTTCGATGTAGCACTCGCTCTGGGCCAGCTCTCCCTTCTGGACGAATAGCATATACCGGTTGGTCTGGGTGCGGCTGTCGTTGAACCACGTATGGTTGTGACTCCCACCGGTCGCTCAGTTTTCCCTTCCCTTGGTGACGATTATCCCGTACCAGCACTCTTTCTCCTGGTAGTAACGGTGCCTCTCGAGCTGTTCGGTCATACAGCCTCTTATTCTTCACTGCTGCTTGATTTATCCGGTCCGAGACCTGTTCGTAAGCGATGTGAAGGCGCTGGTGATGTCCTGCCACCCACTCTGTCAAGCTGCCCCCCTCCTCCGCTGGAGTGGCTCCTAATAGCAGATCGATAGGCAGTCTCACGTGTCTCCCGAACATCAGGTAGGTTGGAGCATAGCCGGTGGTGCTATGCACGCTGTTGTTGTACGCCTGGACCAGCATCGGAAGTTTGTCCACCCAGTGGCCCTGCTGCTCTCCTTCCAGGGTCCCCAGGAGACTTAGCAGTGTCTGATTCAGCCTTTCGCACCCCCCATTCCCTTGGGGGTGGTATGGGGTGGTGTGGGTCTTCTTACATCCGTACTGCCGACACATTTCTTGGATCACCCGAGACTCGAAGTTGGGCCCTTGATCAGCGTGGAGTATTTCGGGACACCCGAATGGCTGAATAACATACTTCCATAAGGCATTGGCGGTGGTAGTGGCAGTCTGATCCAGGGTTGGAATGGCCCAGGCGTACTTCGTGAACAGGTCAGTTACTACAAGGATGTTCTGTATCCGATCCATCGGTCGTCCCAGCGTCAAATAGTCCATGGCTACGATGTGCAGTGGGGCCTTAGCCCGAATCGGCACCAATGGGGCCCGTACCTCCTTCCTTGCCTTAAAGAGCATGCAGCGTGGGCACCCTTGAAGGTAAGTCCTCGTGGTTCCCTCCATCCCAGGCCAGTAGAAGTACCGCCGTAGCAGAGACAACGTCCTTTCTTGCCCTTGATGTCCCAGTTTGCAATGATATGCCTGTAACAGGGAATGACATTGCCCTTCGGGGACTACTACCTGGCAGACCTCATCGCCCCGAGTCGGATCCTGGAGGGACTTACAAATCACCCCTTCTTTCAGGAAGAGCCTCTCTTTCTGTCCCAGCAGCCCCCGCACCACCCGTGTCTGGGCCCGGCGTTCCTCGCCTTCGGGCCAAGCTCCTCCACTCAGCCAAGTTCGTACCAGCTTCAAATCTTCGTCCTCCTCCTGCCACATACTCCAACGCTGTGGGTCCCATCCCCAAGTTACAGGGGGTTCGACCGGTGTTTGGCCCGGTGCCTCCACAATGCCCACCATCAGTCCCTCCTCACGCCCCTCACTCAATGCTGATGTTTGCCCCATGGGTCGCACTTCAGGAAGTCTGGACAGTACATCGGCGTTGGTATGCTCTTTCCCCGGCCGATACTGAAGCTGGTAGTCGTAGTTGGCCAACTGTGCCACCCACCTCTGCTCAGCCGCCCCCAGCTTGGCGGTCTGTAGATGCACCAGGGGATTATTCAGTCACAACGAGTACCTTTGCTCCCCACAGATAATCCTTAAACTTCTCACTCATCGCCCATTTCATTGCCAGCAATTCGAGCTTAAAGGAACTGTAGTTTGCATCGTTTTTCTCAGCCGGATGTAAGCTTCGACTGGCATACGCGGTGACTCTCTCTTTGCCCTGCTGCTTCTGAGCCAATACAGCTCCCAGACCCAGATTGCTGGCATCGGTGTATAAGATGAAGGGTTGAGTGAAGTCGGCATAGGCTAGAATCGGGGCTTGCCGTAATTCCTGCTTGAGCTGCTGGAAGGCAACTTCGCAGGCTGAATCCCACTGGATTGAAGGAGATCCCCGGCCCCGGGACCGTCCAGTGCCCCCTAACAGCTGGTTTATGGGCTTGGCGATGTGGGAGAAGCCTTTTATGAACCGCCTGTAGTATCCTACGAAGCCCAAGAAGGATCTGACCTCTCTTTGGACCCTCTCCCGGATGATTCCCTTATCCAGCATCCCCCGCAGGAGGGTGCGGACCTTGGAGTACAAGGTATGGGGTACAGGCCGGTAGCGCTCTCTACTGAGTGCGGCATCTCCAGTTGGGATCTGATGTTTGACTGCATCCGTGCGACCGTAGTCTTCGTCATGGGTGGAAAACAAGTGCTGCCATCTCAACAAAAAGCCTTGAAGCTGTTTAGTCTGACCTCCTTCTAGACCTTCTCCCCACAGTGACCCTCCCTCAAGATGGGCCGGGGCTCTCTCTCCGGTCTCCTCTACGTACTGATCTGTCTGTGCCAGGGCCACTTCCACTACTGTCGGACTCACCCGGCTGAATCTGACTTCTCCTGGTTCTCGCACTTGCTGTACCCTCACCGAGGTAACTCGGGCTAAACGCTGGTGACGATATAAGTGGACAGGGAAGGGGTTCGTGTTCCTGACTTTTACGAAGACCCGGCCTCTCCGTGCGGACGCCAATCCCCGGGCGACCTCCACCTTGGAACAATCTGAATGGGGCTCCACCAAGACCCACTCCTCTGAGCGATAGAGTCGGGAAGGCAGCCTGGCCCAGACCACGGCCTCACTCCGAGCTGGAATTTAAAGAGCATAGCGACAAGCCACTCTCCCGGTGCTCTCACGGTTCCCCTGCGACTCAGCCAGGCAGATCCGACGACAATCGGCTTCCACACGACTCCACTCTCGGCCCTCCGAGGTTGATACTGCTCAACTTGGTCCATTCCGGAATATCTCCTCCCAGCACTCCGAAACGACATTCATGCCCAGCAGCGCACAGTGTGACCCCAGGCATGTATCCCGTACAATCACCACTCCCTTCTGAGGCACAACAATCCCATTTATCTCCAGGTCGGCTACTAGATATCCTACGTACGGGATGTCGAGTCCGTTGGCTCCCCGCAAGGTCAGCCATGGGGCTTCTGTCATGGGCCGGCCCTGGGCACCAAACAACTCCCGAGACAAACTTTCTGAGAAGAGAGTGACTTGCGATCTCGTGTCCAGGAGGCATTGTACTTTCTGGCCATTTACCTGGACCATCACCACGGGGCAACGCCCCACCAGACTCTCTTGGGAAGTCCCAGACGAACATGGGGTCCAATGAGGGGGTCCCGACCACTTGACCCACAGTGGCCAGTGACACTAAAAACCCCCTTGTGAGGCACGGTGAGAGTGGCACTGGCAAAGGTAGTGTCCTGGCTCTCCGCAACCATTGCAGATGGGGCGCCCCTGCTCATCCCACTGGAATCGGGACCCGGCTGGTCGGAGTGGACGGCGTACTGGAGGTCGATTCCCCTCCGAATAGGCCCGCTCCCTCGGCAAGGACAAGGAATGGAGGTGTTCTCGGCGAAGTTCTTCCATAAAGGATTTAGTCAGTGAGGACATTTGTTCACGAACATCCCTCTTCAGTTCCTCACTGAAGGCCTGCTTCCAATCAGACATGATGGGGGACGGAGGTCTACTAACAGCATTCGCGGCCATGCAGTGGGGAGGAACTACACTCTCGGTATGGTCTTGCTCAAGTGCTAAGGCTTCCCTCCGAAGGTCTTCGAAAGTGAGGTCTGGCTCTCGTCGGAGCTGTATCCGCAAATTTTGATGCACGGGACCCTCCAGCAATCCCAGTAAGAACTGATCTGGCAGCAGGACCTCCTCACCTCCCAGGCCATGATCCTGTCTCTTCTTCAACCTGGAGAACTGCTCCCTCAGCTGCAGTGCAAATGCCCGGATATTTTGTCGCGGCCCCTGCTTGCAAATAAAGAACTGTGTTCGCAGCACAGCAACCGGGGTGGTGTCTCCATATTGCTCCGTAAGGAAATCAAAGATGGCCCGAACCGTGGTTCTCGTTGCTTCCGGTGCTGCTTGGACTTCTCTTCTCGCTTCTCCCTCCAGTGAATTTAAAACGAACTGCACTCCTTGGGGGGCACTTAAGCCTTGGAGTCCTACCAGGTATTCAACCTGGGTCTTCCATGCCGACAAACTCACTTCCGATCCCGGGCCTCCATACTTCTGGGCCCATGGGGCTCCCATGAAGATTGGCATAACTGGCTGCCGCACCACAGGTGCTTCTTCGTCCGCCATCTAGGTCTCTGGCCGCTCAACTCAAGGTGGTACCCTGCCGACTAACGCCAAATCTGTCACAGGTCAGGGGGCCAAGCCAGACTGCACCCACCCCTCAAACCCAGTACCACCTTGAG